CCACCCAGAGATGTCTCAGATCTGCTCCTAAAAGTTACAGCCCTGTGTGTTGGTTCTATGCTGCACACAGGGGGCTGTCAGGAGTTGGGGTCAGCTTGACAGAAGGTGATTCGGTTTCGGGTAATATCCTTAAACTGGTAAGTAAATAGCAGTTCATAGCCACGATTGTGTGGATGGTGCAGGACCAGGCAGGACTTCGTTCTGTTGATGTAGGCTCACTGTGAGTTCGAACTGACTTGATGGCAGATAACAGCAGCGGCACTGGCGCCCTTAATCTGCTAAGGCTTGTAGTCAGGCAGCAATGACTTTATTCCCATTTACTTCAATTCTCTTGGTGTTTCTCATTGACTTTTTCCACTTTCTTAGTAGACATCTTTTACACTTGTTTATTTCTAAATTTCTAGGTATATTTCCTGGATTTTGTTAGAAAAAGATACTGTTCTTTCCATTATATTCTCAGATCTTTGCATGAATGTTACAAAGCAGTTCATTTTTTTATGTCAATTTGGTAGTCTTTTGCCTAATTGAATCTTTTTATTCTTTATCATACCTTTTGAGTTTAAATGCTTGGATTGTAGATGGGGATGATTCTGCCTTTTCCTTTCTAGTTTCCTGAATGCCATTAGAATAGCATTAAATACAATAATAGTGGCAATAGCAGGCATTGTTGTCTTGCTTCTGTCTGGCATCAGATTATTTCTGGTGCTTCCTCCTTATGATGAGGCTAGTTTTGACTTGAGGTGAAAATCTTGGAATGGCCTTGCAGACATTCTTTTGATCATATTGATGGAGTATTCATATATTTCTTCCTGGTTGAGAGTATTTTTCAAAACCAGGAAGAGGTATTAAATGTAATCATATGCTATTTCAACTTCCCTGCATGTGATTTTCACTATAATCTATTAATTAGATAAATAAATTACTGAAATAAAACCTTAGTATGAAACCTACATAGTTCTTGTGCAATATTAAGTTGAATACTGTGTTACAGTTGTTAATTTTTTATTTAGATATTGCATGATTATTTATTAGTGAAATGATATGGAGCTTTTCTTGTAATGCACAAGTTTTGTTGGTTTAGGAATCAGTAGTATTTTTGCTTTCAAACTGGAATTCAGTTTTCTAAATGCTTTGGATTCAATAAATAGCACTTTTGGTGGAGTAAATGATAGATGCATGGATAGATAGATGATACATAGATGATTGAAGATAGATGGATGGATGGATGATAGATGATGGATAGATAGAGGCTAGATGGATGCATGGATAGGTAGATGGGTAGATAGATGATAGATAAACGGGTGGATGTACAGATGATAGATAAATGGGTGGGTAGATGATGGATGAATGGATAGGTAGATAGGTAGTTGCTAGATGATGGATGGACGGATAGATGAATAGATGGATGGGAGATAGATGGTAGACAGATGATGAATAATAGATGATAAATAGACAGACAGATAAATTATTTAGATAGATGATAGAAAAATGGATGGATAGATAGATGATAGATAAGTGGATGGATAGAGAGATGATGGATGAATGGATAGGTAGATAGATAGTTGCTAGATGAGGGATGGATGGATAGATGAATGGATGGATGGGTAGATAGATGGTAGATAGACGATAAAAAATAGATGATAGACAGACAGACAGATTAATTATGTAGATAGATGATAGATAAATAGATGGATGATATATGGATAGGTGGGTAGATGGTGTTTTGGTCTTCTAGTGCTGCTGTAACAGAAAATACCACAAGTGAGTGGCTTTAACAAACAGGGATTTATTCTCTTACAGTTTAGGAGGCTAGAAGTCCAAGTTCACAGTGCCAGCTCTAGGGGCTAAATGAAGGCCTCTTGACATTGGACTTCAGCTCTGCCTCTTGCTCCCAGCCCACTGGAACTGGAGGCATCTATTAACTCAGGCAGCTCCTGGGTGTGAGGCTGAAAACCCAAGGTCAACAAGTAAAGTGGCACAGTCCCCAATATTGTCAAGCAACATGGCAGGCCACCAGTCTAAGTCCAGAAACAGTCCCAAGACCAGCAGGCAACATGGCAGGCTGCTGAGTGAAAACTCAGCTACATGCAGGATCCAAGCATGCCCAAAAGCTCAGAGACCCTTCTCAAAGCTTCTTCTCATGCACTGGAAGCAGACCACGCCCTTAAGGCAGCTACTCAGCAACTCACAGCAGATTCCACCATGGAGTTGATTATCAGTCTCACCAAGGGTAATCATTACATCCAGCTACCCAGCTACTTAAAACCAAGTCCAGCCAAGTTGACACATAACCTTAACTACCACAGATAGACAGACAGATGATAGATGGGTGGATGGGTGGATAGATGGATGATAGATAAAAGATAAATAATAGATGATACATAAGTAGATAGATGATAAATAGATGGATAATTGGATAGATAGGTGAATAGATGGACAGAATGATGGTGGATGGATGGATGGATAGAAAATAGATAAACAGATGGATAATGGTCTGCTTGGTATTTATGTGTGTGTGTGCTTAGATGAATAGATAAACAGATGGATAGATGGTAGATAAGTAGATGGGTGGAGTGAAAGATAGATGATACACAGGTAGACAGAGAGATGAGAGATAAATAGATGGGTTGCATAATACGTGAACCGATAGGTAGCTGATAGTTAGGTAGGTAAGTAGAAAGAGAGAGAGAGAGACAGGGTTGCCGTCAAGGTGATGCCAACTCATGGCAATCCCATGTAGCTACCACAAAACAAAACGTTACCCAGGCCTGTGTCAGCCTCAGGACTGCTGGCATGTTTGAGTCCATCATTGTAGCTGTTGTGCTGACCCGTCTCACTGAGGGTCTCTCTCATCCCTTTTGCCCCCCTGTATTTCACCGCACACGATCTTTTCCTCCAGGGATTGACCTGTCTTGATGACATGCCCTAAGCAAGCCAGTTGGACAGTGTTCTGCTTCACCTTGTAGGGTTTTCTGTGGCAAATTTTCAGAAGTGCATTACCAGTCTGTCTTAGTCTGGAAGCTCCTGCTCATCATGGTGACCTTACTGGTGTTTGAAATTCTGTTGCGTAGTTTGCAGCATCACAGCAGCCGTCAGTCACTGCAGCAAGACACACATGAAAAACAGGAAGAAGCTTACTGTGTAACACATCTGTGTATAAATAAGGAAGTATTTTGTGTTTCAGACATGGTTATTACCTGGCCATTATGAGCCAGGTAAACACAGACAAGATGAAGTGGGCAACATACCCAAATGCCTCCTTTGACCCTTCCTAGAAGTTTTGTTCTATTTTGGGCATTCAGACCACAAACAAGGGACTCAGTAAACCTCTGAGTGTGTGTTGAGGAAGGAGCTCTGGTGATGTAGTGTCTAAGGCATTTGACTGCTAACCAGAAGGCTGGCGGTTCAAACCCACCCGCCACTCCTCAGAAGGAAGGTTGGGCAATCTACTTCTGTAGTGATACTGCCTTGGAAACCCAAGGAGGGGTCGCTATGAGTCAGGTCCGACTCGACGGCAGTGATTCTGGTTTGGTCTGGTGTGTTGAGAATAAGGACCAGCAGGAGTGGGCCAGCACACGTGGAGGACGTGAGGCAGGCCTTAATGAGGAGGCAGAATCCAGTGAAAGAGATGCCTGGGAAGGAGGTGCCTCAGCTGCCAAGTGCAGCATGTGAGGAGATGGGAACCTCAACAGGGCAAGTGCAGTACAGGGGCCACAGCCCAGGCACAGGGAACCCTGCCCACGTGGTCCAGCAGGGAAGGACGGTTCAGAGGGCAGCTTGATCCCTTTGGGTTGTCGTGTTGAGAATGGACTTAGAGAGTGGGGACAGAAACCAGACGTCATTTAAGGAGAAAGATGCAGAAATGATGCTAACATGGCTGCAACATGGTTTCTCCCAGCTGAAAGAGTCACACGGATTGCAGTTACCTCCACATTTTTATCTCACTCTTCACTGCCTCCAAGTGGGTGAGGCAGTGTGCTGGTGGGGTTCTGCTGAGAGTGCAGGGTTCATACCAGTCAGCCCAGTCTGGACCACACGGGCGTCTGAGACTGTGCATGGACCACAAGCATGAGGACCACTAGTCTGCTCGTAAATCCACTCTTCCTTCAGTTCATGCAGTCACACCTCCTTCCGTATTCTTTCCTGAGGATTTTCTATTTGGCCATCCATGTGGCAGCTACAGTGAAAATAATGATTTTTCACATTATCATTCCTATTCACAACCAACAAATAAAGATCTCAATATGGCATATCTCCTTTCATGTTAAGCAATGTCTGTGCAACACTTGAACGTTTGATGATTGTGTGAGTTCATGTGAATCACCTTGCCGCTCCACTAAAATAACATAATAGCACACGTTAACGTTCAACATAATGATTTGGAATCAAAGCCACTGTGCAAAGAATGCTAACGTACTGCTGATTGTTCTGGGTTGAGGAAGAGTATTTTGTACATTAGATTTTGTAACCAAACCCCAACAGACACTCTACAAATGGCAGCCACTGTAAAGGTGTAGAAAGGAGATGATGTACCCCAGGGGACACTTTATTCATCTCATTTTCTACTTAGGAAAATTTGCAGAAGTTCTGCTTGATGGTTTAGATCTTCCTTAAAAGAAGCCCAGACAGACAGAGGGAGTGTCTCCAGTCTGGAAGTGACCACGAGTGTGCCAGCCTCATCCTGAGTTGCGCTTTGTTGGTGTATTTATTTGTTTCTGTGCATTTGTTCAGACTCCTGTTCTCGGCAGAGGGTACACGTTTCTGTAATGCACACTGGCGAGCATACACTGGGGGCGGGAAGAGGCACAGAGCCTGGCATTTACTTCACATTCCTGAAAACGGCTTGTTTTTCGCATTCCTGTGGAGGACTCAGGAGCACATCTCACCTCATCCCTGCGCCTAGCTCCCCATCCTCGGCCTTCGTGTGTGGGGCTTGTGCTGCATATTGGAGAGTAGGCAAGGATAAAGGGTGTTTGAATTAATGGATGATTACAGGGAGCATGGGTATCTCCCCCAGTGCCTGGTCTCCCTACTGACACAAGTCAGCTTTCACCCAGGGAAGCAGAGGTAGGAGGTAAATGAGAAGGGGGTTATGGCAAGGAGCTGGCCTAGGCTGGATAGGCCAGTCCCAGATCCACAGGGTGAGTCCTCAGGAAGGGGCGCAGGGGATCTTGGCACAGCCTGAGGCTGCCATAGGGGGAGTATCCCATTCATCTCGGGACCCTCCCCTCCACTCGGCCCTTAGCTGAGTCAGGCCCAGTTGGGAGCATGTCTCAGGTACTTGACACTTTGTTGTTGTGAACGTTGGTTTTCTTAGTGTGCTTTGAACCACTTATGGATGTAGAAATGTGGTTGGTGGTGGTCATCTAGCCAGCCTCTCGTGCAGCTCATCGTTTCTGATGATCTGTGGACCGATTTCTAATGATGTGTGGACCGATTTCTGATGATCTGTGGACCGATTTCTGATGATCTGTGGACCGATTTCTAGTGATCTGTGGACCGATTTCTAGTGATCTGTGGACTGACTTCTAGTGATCTGTGGATTGATTTCTGATGATCTGTGGACCGATTTCTGATGATCTGTCGACCGATTTCTGATGATCTGTCGACCGATTTCTGATGATCTGTGGACCAATTTCTGATGATCTGTGGACCGATTTCTAGTGATCTGTGGACCGATTTCTGATGATCTGTGGACTGATTTCTAGTGATCTGTGGACCGATTTCTGATGATCTGTGGACCGATTTCTAATGATCTGTGGACTGATTTCTAGTGATCTGTGGATTGATTTCTGATGATCTGTGGATTGATTTCTGATGATCTGTGGACCAATTTCTGATGATCTGTGGACCAATTTCTGATGATCTGTGGACCGATTTCTGATGACCTGTGGACCGATTTCTAGTGATCTGTGGACTGATTTCTCTCATCTGTGATTACTGTCCCCTTCTACTGCTGAGGTGGTTTCCCGGCCTCCTCTGTGCTGTCTGGGCCTTCGGGCAGCAGCAGCAGCAGGTGTTCTCATCGCGTTCCAAGGTTTCCAGGCATCCTCATGCAGGCTGACCTTCCCTCTGGAATGTGGGGTTTGGGGTTGCTGGTTGCAAAGGGCCACACTGAGGCCATTAACCTGATATGGCCTCTTCCCCCAGCAGACAGCTGTGAGGAGCCTCTGCTGCCTGCCCTGCCCGCCTCGTCCTTCAGTAGTTCCTCGGAGCTGTCCAGCAGCCACAGCCCTGGGTTTGCTCGGCTCAACCGAAGAGACGGTGAGTCTGCTCTTAACCTCTCATAGCCCACGAGGGGGCTCTCTGATTTTCAACAGTTCTTGCATTTCTCTTGACAAAATACTGTGAGTGACTGACTTATCCACTACACAGAAATTAAATGTTCAGATAAATACTTACACAGATTTCTTAGAACGCTCTGTTTGAAATGTGTGCTATGAAAACATTACCTATCCATTGATTGGGAGCTCTGGTGGCGCAGTGCTTAAGGCACTTGACTGCTAACCAGAAGGTTGGCGGTTCAAAGCCACCCGCCACTCCGTGGAAGGAAGGTGGGGCAATCTACTTCCATGAAGATTTACCGCCTCAGAAATGTAGTGGGGGTTGCTGTGACTCAGAATCGGCTCGATGACAGTGGGTTGGGTTTGGTTTAATCACCTTCTTTGAATTTTTTTTTTAACTTATTTTTCTCCTCAACATTTGACCTCATTTATCACAGGGAAGTTTGGCCAACCCAAGAGGATATAACTTATATCTGATGTTTTAGGTGTTTTAGATTTTCACAATAGACAGACAGACAGAGGCATTTTACACATATTGCTTATTACAACACAGATGTTCAGAAATGTTATGACACGTATGGTTTTATATGTATTTAACTTTTTAAATGTAAAATGTCATTATTTCACTATTTAAGGTGGTGAAATGTAGGCCATATACAGTCATAGGGAATATTTGTTGTTGTTTGGTGCCGTCCAGTCGGCTCCAACTCTCAGCGACCCTGTGCACAACAGAACGAAACACTGCCCCATCCTACGCCAGCCTCACAGTCCTTGCTATACCTCAGCCTGTCGTTAATGACCATTGTGTCAATCCATCTCATTGAGGGCCTGTACTTAAGTTTGCTCCTCTTTTAACGACTTCATGGTATATGTCATCAGCGATGCCACTGAGTCCCCTTTAACAAAAGAGTGTGAGGAGCCAGCAGGAAGCCTTGACTGATCATGGCATGAAAGACCAGCACACCCTCTGGCATTTCCACCTGGGTCTACAAGCCCGCCCCCCAGAGCCTGGCCTGCAGCTAGTCCCCAATACACCACTCTGGCTGGACCCATCTGGATTCCTTCCCAAGTTGCCACAACCCACAGAGTGGGGTCCTGCAGCCAAGGGCATTTCAGAGGGACCACACGGCCCTGTGGACGCCTTGCCCAGGAGCACTTGCTTCCCAACTGCACCTCGCCCTGCCCCCAGCCCCAGCCCACTGCACCCTGAACCTGTCCCTTTCTGCACCTTCGACTCAGGCAGTCTGAGAACTACTATGCTTTATGCCTCAACTCAGGGAACCCGGGCATTTGCAGCCTCCACAGGAGAAATGTGTTCTTGTTCCTTGTTTGGAAATGTCCCCTAGCAAGCTACTCCATGCATGCCTAAATGGGGTTTTTTTTTCTTTTTTTCCAAGGACATTTATTTGAGCTCCATTACAACTGAAATTCTAATATCTCCCTCTGAGTGGATCAACTTTATCACTGAAACAACAAGTAAGACTAGATTAGAGCCTCATCCTAAGGCTCAGCTCGATTTCCCGAAAACTGTTGCAGTGAAGACAGAAGCATGGTGTGTGGTGATGACGTGTAGTAAGAGAAAGAGAGAAAGAGGGTTTGGGGGTTCAGTGCTCACTCAGGGAGCACCGGTGGCATAGTGCTTAAGGCACTTGACTGCTAACCAGAAGGTTGGCAGTTCAAACCCACCAGCCACTCCTTGGAAGGAAGATTGGGCAATCTACTTTTGTAGAGATACTGCCTCGGAAACCCAAGGAGGCATCGCTGTGAGTTGGATCCAACTCGACGGGAGTGAGTTTGGTTTTTTGGTCAGTGCTTGCTCTTCACTTCTTTTGGGAGAAACAACATTTTTCCTTTGGAAACAACGGATTTTACATTTCCGTCAGTTACTCTCCAACTTTTCAGCTTATGCAACAAAAACAGGTAACGCGATTAAGCTGAGGAGTTTTCCTCCACTTTATCTATTAGTTTAATGACTGGCAAGTGTGTAGATTCGTTGCTGGATGGCAAAGCCCCATTCCCCATGAAAGCGCGCACACAAGGAGCAGTGGTCCACCATCATCGGAGATCATTCTCATTCCTTATTTCCCTTCAGCTCATAATGAAGCAAGATGCCAACCTGAATGAATTTATTTGCATGTTAATTAAGCTTAAAATGGCCGGTTTTAATTATCTTTTACTTGCTAGTTCATTGTTTTTGATTGGTTTTTATTTTCCTTTCCTCCCCGCTGATAGCCTCCAGCATCACAAAGGAATTGCACATTGGGAATGAGTTATTGGAGGCTGCACAGTGATTCTGTTGTCTTAACATTGCTCATCAGATGTTGATCAGGCTGTGAAAGGTGGCGGGATGAGCTATCTGAACATGAATGACTGTCTCAATAAATAAATCACCCAGAGAAAATGGGAAACAGTGGCTTCCCATGGAGAGTCCGGAACCTCGCAGCTGAGAGCAGCAGGCAGAAAACAAGTGATTCCCTGATCAGACGCTCAGGGTATGCACGTGTGTGCGCCCAGTGTGGTCAGGACAGTTGTTCTGTGATAAGAACTGATGGCTTCAGTGTGGGGAGAATGAGGACAGCAGGGTACAGAAGGAAAGGATCAAGCCCTCTTGGGCAGTGGCGACTTGGACACCTCACTCAGGTCCTCCTCCCTGACTGTCACTCCATGTGCTGTGGGAGCTTATCACTCTGTGAGCACAGTCGCTTACAGCATTTTTACTGGTAGCAGGAATTCAGCTTGTCCCTGAGAGATTTCACAGCTTGGGAAGAAGAACCCCGGACCTCAGGACAGTGACTCAGTGACAGTACCAGCAGTGTTGTAGTGGCACTGAATGCCCCTTTTCCTCCCGCCTCTGTTCCCTACAGAGCTCAGCTATTGTTTGAAATTCTTATCTCCTTAAGAAAATCACTGGTACCCCCATAAGAAGATGCTACTCCCTAGGAACCAGTGAGATGATTTCCAGGTTGAATTATGGCAGTGCAGGCTCATGCCAAGGAGGTTGCTGAGGTGGTGTGTCACCTGTGTCACTGAGAGAGCTCTGGTAGCATGGTGCCTAAGGCACTTGACTGCTAACCAGAAGGCTGGCGGTTCAAACCCACCAGCCATTTCTCGGAAGGAAGGTTGGGCAATCTACTTCAATAGTGATACTGCCTCAGAAACCCAAGGAGGGGTCACTGTGAGTTGGGTCCTACTCGACAGCATGTAACAACAACATCTGTGTGGACAACAGTGAAGGAAGACTTTGTGCACAGGATGAGTGTTTAGTTCCTTCCAGAGCTGGCATATGGCTTTCTCTAATTCTCTTTTATCTACTGAAAAGGATAAAATACTCCTCTTTTGGCTGAAAAAGCATACCTGCATGGGTCCACCATCTCACTCATTGCCACTGAGCCATGGGCTGCCTGGTCCTTTGGTAGAAGAGTGGATTTCCAACGTTCATGGATTAAAGCAAATGTCTTTATAAAGACATTTATATATATAGTGGGATGGGTGTCTCACACAGTGTGGACAAAGGCGGCCCCAAGGCAAGTGTCAAGCCAGCTCTTGACCCCCAACAGTTTCTTTTATCCACGGGAGGTAGGAGGTTGGCAGGAGCAGATGTCAACCCCATGGTTTGTTGGTGGTGCAAATGGTTAACACGCTTGGCTGCTGACCATGAACTTGGAAGTTCGACTCCACCTACAAGCACCCTGGTAAAAGGTCTGGCTCCTACTTTTGAAAAATCAGCCATTGATGGAAGTCAGTTCTCTGACATACATTAGACATCCTTATGTCAAAGTCAACTTGATGGCACCTGGCTGGTTAATTTGTTGATTTCTATGGTGGTCTCTCGCCTCACTTTCTATAGTGATCTCCCACCTCACTTTTGAATTTGGGAGCAGTTGGCAAACACTGTCTTGGGGCCTCAGCCAGGTAGAGAGAGGCAGCACCTCAGGTGACATCCTGTAAAATGTTAATTCTTGGGAGTTTCTTGTGGTCACTTTATAGTCATCATTGGATAGATTTGACTCAGTGCTCTGTCTGCCACATACAGAAACAGAAGAACGATACAGTAAAGACGTCAGTTTTCCCAAAATCCATATGCATATTTTAGCTAAATTCCTATTAAAGTCCCAGCAAGATTTTTTTAGCTATAGGCAAGCTGATTCTAAAACTTACATGAAATAGTGGAAGAATGTGAATAAAATAATTTTGAAATGGAAGAATAAAGTGAAGTAATCGGGTTACCTAATTTCAAGATCAATGGGACATTAACAGAGAACTCAGAAATAAATCCAACCAGGGTGCTTAATGGAACCTTGGCAAAGTGTGAAACCAGCATGCTGGAAGAAAGAAGGCCTTCTCCCCAGCGGATCTGGAGTGGTTGGACATCCACAGGCTACAGGAGAGGACTTGACCGCATTCTCACACCTTCTGTGAAAACAGTATCAGCTGTAAAATCTTAGAGAAAAAGTAGGAGGAAACTTCAGAATCTGGGTGAGACTTGAAAACAAATTCTGATCCATAAAACAAACCAAATGATGATAAATTGGCCTTCATCAAAATGGGGAAAAAATTGCTCTGTGAAACTTTATTAAGGGAAAGAGAAGCAAACCACCGTGGGGAAAACTGTTTGCAAGTCACACATCTGACTAAGGATTAGAATGTTAAAAATATAAAGAATTGTCTCTACTCTACATTAAAAAACAAAGAATCCAGTTAGAAAATGGGCAAAAGACAGGCACTTCACCAACTAGGATGTACTCTATGCAAATAAACACCAGGAAAAGATACTCAAGGTTATAGCTTAAAATACAGATGAGAAGCACAATGCCATAGCTGTGTGCCTATGAGAATGGCTAAAGCAAATGCTTGTGTGAGTACTGAATCCTGGTAGGGACGTGGACTGACAGCTCTCTTGCTCGCTGTTGGGAGTGTAAACTGGTTAAACAGTTTGGCAGATCCTTAAAAACTAACCAGCCTACTGCCATATGACCCAGC